ACGTAACGATGATTTATGTATTTGAAATTACTATGATTATTTGCAACTTGTTGCGGTTTTAATTTCGTTGCTCCTTCATCGATAATACTGAATAACGTCAAATATATTGTTACATCTAATGTTTATTAACGAAATTAAACAACAGTTCGACACCATCAATCCCAAAGTCAAGACTAAATTCAACTATTAAATTTACTTAATTTTTCTAAAATACGAGTGCAGCATCTGCAGTTTATACGACTGATATTAAAACGTTATCAAAGAATTAGGAACAATAGTTAAATAAGAACAGACGTTGTTCAGATTTTCACATAAATATATTTAAATGACAGCTGGATGGATGGATGGATTTTCATCAAGTAAATGCCACTTCAGTATTATATTAGAGTCCTCCTATCGATATAACGTTTTTACGACATAATCCGGTATTTAATTTTGGTAAATCTTTATGAAGGTGTAACCGCTGGCCTATCTCGCTTCGGTTTCTCTTAGTGACCCCACGATAAAAATGCTGAAAGCTGACAGATTTTTGTAGAGTTTCATCGATGAGATTCCTCGATTATTATTAGTCCATGCATTCTTACATTATCTCCTTTGGAAAACTCTAAGTTATTATGTAAATTGCAAAATTGTATGTTACAATATGACAGTGTTCTCAGAGAGCAGCTATATTTTATCTCATTTCCTTGTCCTTTACGGACATCAGCCGTGCAAAGAATTGCATTTTTTTCTCCCTCAGAAGAGGGATGTGTCAACCAATAACGTTTTTATCAGACGCTTGGTAAATCAAAATCCAGAACTGGTGCAATTGCAAACAAATTAATTTAAAATTAAAATTATATTGTAGAAAACATGGAACAATCAAACATGAGTTCTCAGTATGTAACCTAAGTATTTAAAATTAAACTATACGTTTATTATTATTGATATTATTATTTTTGTTTGTTGTATTTGGAATATTTTGTTGAGACCTAAACTCCTAGCTGTTTTATTTTTCTACTTCCCTACATTCGATTTTCAAATAGAAAAATTTGTTAACTAACACCAGATCCCTCATTAAACCTCCAATACATACGCTCAATCATGACCGTGTCGAAGAAATTCCGTTAACCCTTTTTTTTCAAATAAACTTCCATAAGCTACTGTAATACTTTTTATAAATAAAACTTCTGGATTCCTCCTGCGTCGGTTTTTATTGACTCCTACCGCTACCGTTTCGCCAATCATCCTGCTGGCTTCTTCAGTGCTTGAATGAAACTGTTTCAGGTTCGACTCAACAAAAACCGACGCAGGAGGAATCCACAAGTTTTATAAAAGGTATTACGTTAACCCTTTTAAATTTAATTAAGTCTTTAAAAAGTGGCTACTAAAATAATTTTCGTATCTAGCGTAAACTGCTTTCCAAATCAGTTTTTCATTTGTCCATATAGAAGACTTTTTTGATAATCAGTAAATAGTAACTTCCCATTTTCCTTGATACCGCTATTATTTATGTGTGCACGCAATGACATGCTTTCTATGATTTTGCGATTAGTAGTGGCTCAGTGCATCAGTGGATCATTAATCACCAGTGAACTCTCATTTCTCAGAAATAACTGTGAGCATCTCCCTTATAAAATCTCGCTCTCATTTTAAACCTCTCTGTTTAGACCTCGCTCCTTTTCTGTAAGCCTCTAGTAATAAATATTTGAGCTCATCAAAGGGGTTTAAAACAGCAGCCAGCTTTAGAGAAACAAAGGTCAAAGCGAGAGATAAATTTAAAAAGAGAGAAGCTCACTCCTACCCTTGAAGAAAAGAAGGATCACTAGTGGTCAGTAATTCTGGGTAATGCTGCCATAACTATGATCAGCGAAAAAACTATAAGAATTACTTTACTTATTTCCTATTCTTTCAGCCTCTCAATGATTGGTGAGTCAGGTTCCAATTTTCCAAATTTTTACGCACATGTTCTTGCCTAGCAACTATGAAAATCGTTTACATAGCGTAAAAAATCATTTATGCATGGCTATTTCGTTTAAATAGCTAAATGGGTGTGAGTAATTCGTACACTTGTTAATTCGATTATATTTAGACACTCTCGTTTGCATTGCAGTTGCGTGTCTCCCTCAGTAATGACCAGCAATTATTTTCAGGCGGAGAACAAAAAATGATTTTCTGTTAAAGATTTACTTCAAAGTTAAATTAATGCATCAGCTTCGTTGCGGATACGGATGTGGAAATTTGGTGATGATTTCATTGTTGTTGATTTCCGTAGTTATTTTTAAATCTGTTTGGTGATTTATGACTAATCATGTTTCCGATAAAGTAAGCCAAAACCGACTACATCTCCGGAATCTTTTTAAAAAGCAAAACGATTTGGAACGAACTCTGCATGTGTGTAACCGAATGAATGGAAGCGCTGTAATTAGTAAACAATTAACTCTTCTACAATAACGGAGGTCATTGAGTCAACCGGAAGAACAAATAAATAACTGAGAACCATTTCTCAGTAAACCTTTCCTGCGATATGGTTAAAACAAAGTAAACGACTTTTTTTTGTTAGCTTTTGACAACATTGTATAGTTAGAAACTGTTGAATGCATTTTACTCTTAAATCATATAAACGAAATAGGTACTTGGAGTCATTTTATCGTAGAAAGCATACAAGCATATAGCTATTAAATAATATAGTGCCCTACCACAGTAAAAATTGTACGAAAATATCATAGCCACCGGAGGCCCAATATCAGTAGGATGTTATTGGTAACACCTTTCAGAGTTATTTGCTACTGTCACAGGATACTAGGAGTCTGTGCCATTGTTGTTTTGATTTTTGGTGTATATTTCCATGTTTTTATGACAAAAATTCCTGCCCACTGTAAAACTGCTAAGGAAAAGAAGGGTAAATTGCTTTATGTACAACTTAATATAAAAAAATTAAAAGTGGTTTATATGGGACTCCCACTGACAAATTCTATAATTTTTTGGATTTTTGGCAAATACGAGAATCTAATAAGATCTTAGATGAATCCTGAGTGATGTATATTTATTTTTCATTTAACAAACTGGATGGGCATATTTTGAGAACACACTCCGTAAAAATGCCGTATCCCAACTTATTGACCATCTGTCAGCGGCCATGTTGCTTGTTACTAGTCAAAAACCAGAATTTGCAATTACAGTTGTCAATGGTTAAAAATGAGATTTTAAATATCACGCATGTGCATGCTGAATGGACCTTCTCAAAATTGTTTTCATAGTTCATTGTTCCTGTATTATCAGCATAGGGAGGGCCTCTATATTTTTAGTAGCCTACAAGTTAATAAATAAAAATGAATTCCAGAGATCCGATATCTCAAAAATGAGAAGCCCTTGCCGGCCAATGTTTATAAGAAATTGTTTCTTATAAACTTAGAGACTTAGAGAATTGCATTAAAACATTAGACGCCTCAAAAAACACCCCTGTGTAAATAACACTCAGACGGTGTTTTAAATGATTTCTTTAAAATTCACTTGTTGTGTCTGGAGGATGTAAAATTGGAGGTAACTGTTGTTTTTTCTAAAATGTTTATTAGTCCACCTCTGATAATTTACGTTTTGATATCTTCAGTGCATTATAGAGGGTGTTTCAAAAGACGCGCGCCAACGGTCGACTGGAGATTCATCAATCTATCAAAAAACAAAAAAGTTCATCTAAACTGTTTAAAAAACTGCTTCTTTTAACAATATGTCAAATAATTTTTACCTATTTTTTTGAAATTTGGCAACGTCATTTGTAATGATGAAGGACCAATTTGCTTGAACTAGATTCAAAGTCCAGTGCAGTCCGGGAGGTAATTCAACCAATGGTATTGTTAAAGAAACTGACTTTTTTTGCAATTTTTGTTACTTCGAATACGGTGCTAAAAGTACAATATGTGCGAGTCTAGTGTATCTCAGGAGATGCTCCCGCCCAAATGTAGAAAACACTATTCTATTGAGACTAAGGAAGTTATAAACAATGTTTATTTGACTCTCATTGAACGTGGTGCCAGCAAGCAAGCATCTTTAGGAGAAACGGCCACATTGACGAAAATTCCAACATCAACTGGATTACCATGTAGACACCACCGCTTTTATTTGAAAGTTGCTTTAAAAACAAACTAGTTCCAAAGATTCCTCCTAATAGCGTCATTGTAATGGACAATGCAAGTTATCACAGTTGACAGTTGACTAAAACAACAATCCAAAACTAACAATCCAAAACTACATGTATAATAACGCCATTTTTTTTTACGAAGATTATACCAAAAAGCAATTAATTGGGGTTCTACAAAACCTGAACCTACAAAAGGAATACGTCTGAATACGCTTCCACCTTGAACATGTTTGGTACTAACTGAAAATTGCCATTCGTAGTAACAATGTTTTTCCCCGTGTTAACTCCAATGTCCTTAAACTTATAGAAACCGAAGTTTTTAACATCCCTCCACAAAGTTGGGCAAATTCTGTTAAACATATAGAACAAGCAGAACAATCGTATATCCATATTGCAAATAATATAGAACAAATATTAATTAGAAAAGGCGATGATAGCGATAGTGATACTGATATATTATGTGAATAATTTTAAGTAATTTAAGTAGGTAATAAAAATAATATGTAATTTTATTTTAGATTTAAACATAAATAAATATTGTTTAGTATCTTTCCTAACAAAACCCTAAATAATTAAATTCTAAGCAAAGTACGGCCCTGTTCGCCATATTTCATTCTTACAGCTTGCCGGGTCTTTCCTTAATTCGTATTAGTTAGTCACTTTCTTATATCCATGAACAAACTTTACCCTCCGGTAATAATTTTGTGGCACAAAAATCTGTATCTACAAGCTTGCGTATCGTTTTGCCACATCGGCAACATTCCGCGTTCTATAATTCCATAATTATTGGCATAGCGCGAACTGCCCGACAGATAATAAATTAAACCACAACCAAAATCGCGTGCGTTGCATAAATGACAACGCTTGAATAAATAGTACTTACAAAACACATATTGCCGGTGGACCCGTAAAATTCTCCCTTTTGAGCGTAAACATTGTTCATCATCCTCTTCTGTTGCGTGGCGTCCAACCAATCGGTGGTTACTCGGAATCTTCACCGCAACTTTTTTAAATAACGAAACGCAAATAATGTTATTTGCCTAAACGGTTGTAGTGGTGAAATCGAACAGGCAGCACGCACACCGTCGCGCCGACCGAAGGTAAATACCAAAGAACCACCACAGGTATAACAACGAACGCGTTACATTCAAACCGACCATCGATTGGACTGAGTCACATTTTCGAAGAAGTGGTAGACCGGATTCATTCCGCGTGTGGAATTTCTTCTTCGGCTCGATCGAAGAAATGTTAAATATGCGGCAACGGTCCGCCGCGTTCGTAAGACGGTGGGTAGGCAGCTGAACACTTTCGTTTTTCGGGTGGAAATTAATTAAAGTGGCCTCCGAGCCACCGCGAGGCAAATGGTGTCTGTCGGCTGACTAACAACTGACAGTTGCCGCGCTCTCGGCATTTTGATGGGCCGGGACGACTTATTGCCTCCTGTAGACCCTATTGAACCCATTAGTTTAAATTAATAGTAATGTTCTTTTCGAAAGAAACACGTGGCACATTGGTCGACGGAGACGCGCCCGGATTGCGGCGAAAATTGGAAACAAAATCCGCGCCGTATAAACGCGGTGTGTGTATGTTTCTGCATGGATTTTTTTTCATGAAAATATCATACATAACTTGCCTACGAAATTGCACAGATAAAATTGGCAGCTATTTTTACGAACGAAATATTTACTATTTACAAATCATGCTGTTGGCTTTTTCGAAGCTTAACTGAAATTTCAGAAGATTTTTAAATTACAGTAACAGATTATAGCAGCCTGTATGAAAGTTCCTTTGAAAAAATAACAAAGCAATTTGTAAATCCAGACGTAGCGTTTGTTTTCATTAGATTCGCGCAGTATATGTTAAGTAAAACTAAACCGTATTCGTCGGAGGCTTTATTCAGACAAACACAAACACTAAAAATTAATCAGTTGTCCCATTTTTTAAGGTATTATGACATATCTTCCTAAATAAGTTCAGATTTTGACGACAACACCGTGCCTTTATCAAATGTAATATTTACAAACTGCCTGCTACTATAGATATAGATAGATACCGAAAAATGACAAAACCTTAATTAATGTTGTGGGAAATTAAGTTTAATAAGGGAGAGGTATTTAAATTAAAAAAAAAATAATTTTCTGCTTTTTGTGGCGGTATGTGAAATATCAAAATTGTCGTCAAAAATGTGTTTTTCTGTTTTTAAGTGTGTATCATAATTAGAATCTAAACTATTTCTTGAAAGATCTACCTGTTTGTTCAATATAAATTTTAGGACAAGATCCGCATTTCAACCTGTAGACGCTTGATTTTTTGAGAATTTGGACATTTCGTTTTATTGTTTTTTAAAAATTTTCCTATTGTGTGGTTAGTTCTGAAAGCTATTTTTAAACCACAATTTGACAAATGTTTTGAAACTTTTTCACTGGGTTCTCCTATGTATGTAATTGTTTTAAATTGTTCGTGTTCTGTATTAGGTTTTGGATAAATAGAGTTTACTGTTGTCTGTATTTGTTTTTTATTTATAATTTTATCGATAATGGACGGATTGTAGCCGTTGTTCAGCGCAATTTGTTTATTGATATTAAGTTCTTTGTTGTAATTTTCTGTATTAAGAATGGATTTCCATCAAGTAAAAGCCACCTCAGTTCAACATATCTCCCTTATTAATAAAGCTAGATTGTTTTTCCTATGTTTTCATGAAAAGATGAAAGGATGGTACAAACAGAAATGAAATGAATTTTGAAAGTATTTCATTTCTTGACAGCTTTTGTAACTCGGTTGTGTTTAAACTTACGGAAAAGGGGAAAAGGATATGGTTTTTTTCCGTAGGATCCAGTTTTCTTTTAAAACTCCTAAATTTTACTATATCAACCAAACTTGTATATTTTTAATGCAACACCCGTTCTTGTAATAATTTTATTATGCTTGTAATTCGTTTTTCAAAAATTTATAACATATCTTACAAACTGTTTTAAATAAAAATCGTACATAATAATTTATTATAATTTATTACAAAAAGTTGCCTGTTAAAATTAACTCGTATGTCGCATTTTGTTTTAATATTAATGGCCATAGCAGAAGGAAGCAGGAATCTGAAATTAAAAGAATAATTACAAAATGTCATGACCGTTTGACAGTTTAAGCATATTAATTAAATTTAAAGATACTTTCCTTCCTTTGCGTTTGAAATACCTTTTACTTGTTACATAATTTTGAAAAGTTCATAACATGAATAATAAAATTATTAATCACATGGTGTTAAATTAAAGAAGCACAAGTTTAGTTTATATAGTAAAATTTGTGAGTGTTTTTAACCGTTTCGATAAATTAATGCATAAACGAACTACAAAAAAGCAGGTTTGAGTCGCGAAAACAACACACGCTAATTTTATTAGTATATATTTAAAAATAAAAACTATTCACAAACAAGTATATTTGGTTGAATGCGAGCAAAAAAAAAAAAAAAATGCGACAATTCCTAAAAGCGTCTACAAATGGTCAACAAAGCCTTGTCCTATAAAATTTCCACCATCTATAATATGCTAATATGCTAATATGTAAAGAGAATTATTAAGACATAAACCATTCTATAAAATAAGAAACAAGATAATGAGTAATGAGATTATGAGTAAAAGAGTTGACTGTTTCTAAAAAATGCACCTATTATTGTGTCGTATCCCGCATCTGACGCACTCTAATTGTTAACTAGTCTTAGGGTAGAAAAACGAATGTAAACTAGGAAGAAAAGAAAGTAAAAGAAAAATACCAGTTAACACCGCAGAATGCGGTCAATTGTGGAATATAATTCCAATTTGATTTGCACAGACTTTAACTGCTTTTTGTCCAGAAAATTTAATCGGATTTGGACATATTTTGACGAAAAAAAGTTGTATCCAAAGAAAACTGCCGAAATCAGGAACTGTCAACTAGCGGCCATTTCGGTAACGGAATGATATTATTGGTTGAAACCGAGAGTTGAAGCGACAGGTCTTATTGGTTGAAAGCGATTTTTGAAATAACTCGAACATGCGCATACCGAATGACGCTTCTCCCAATTTTTTATACTTTAAAAATGGCTGTATTATCAGCGTATGCAAGGTTCAATATTAATTAAGAATATGTTAAAAAAAATCTGTATTTCAATTTATTCTTAATTACACCTAATGTAAGAGAATACAATATTGAATTTTATACATCACTTTAAACGTTATACTTACCCATTTCTTTCGCTTTTAATTTTGGAATTATGTAATTATGAGTTATTGTACATTTGTATTAAAACGACCAAATATTGAAAACTACGTTAATTAAGTATCAAAAGTAAAAAAGATGTAAAACCACCAAAATAAGGAAACCTATACTTTTTTGAAAAAATAAATTAACTAATAAGTAATAAGAAACATAAGATAGTTCATAACAATTTTTAAATCAAAACTATTTTAATCGTGTCCTCACAAGTTAGTAGAGTTACCGGTTGCCGTTAGTTCATTTTATTATTATTCACAAATTCGTGTTGTACCGAATGTGACAGAGCATCGTAGATACGTTACTTCTGCATAAAAATCATATTCTTTGACAAGTCGCGTATACAGCTTAAGAAATTTTATATTCGACGTTTGTATTTCAAGTTTGAAATAATTCAGAACTTTTCATAACGTTTTTTCGCAGAACAAAAAACGAAATAACGGCAAGGTTTAGCTATGAGAGTGAATAATTTACAATGGAAAAATGTAACAATATATAGAGCATTTTACTTAAAAAAAGCAAGTTGACACCCATACCGGAAGTTAACAGATAACAGATCGACGAAGTTCCCGGTGTGTGTGTGTGTGTGAAGCTAAATTTGAAACTAATTATTACAAACTACACATTGAAGTTATACATTTCACACAGTATAACTGTTGAAAAGATGTAAGGGTTATTTTCTTATAATTTGTTAAGTAGATATATAGCGTCAACGTTGCAAATAATTTCAACAAATCCTTGAAAACATCTTGAAACAAATTTTTCTTCTTTGCCTGGAACAAAAGTAACATCAAATTACGAAATTGAAATTAATTTTTCCTAACTCGTTGTTATGACAACCTACTTTATTTTATATTATTCTTTGTCTGTGTTTTTCAAAACGTGGTTTCTTTTAGGATACGATATCTTCACAATTAAAATAAATCTAAGAACCTTTATTAGAAAGTTTTTTAGGAAAAAGGTAACTAGTAACGAGATATACACAAACGTTCTGCATCATCAGGAAGTAATTCGGTTTTAATTTCCTTTTAACACATTGGCTCCGGTAAGAAAAACAGACTCGTTATTATCATCATTTTATATGCCATAAAATGTGAAATTAGATTGTTTAAAATAGAAATAAACAACCGAGGATTACGACGTGGTGGTACAATATTACAATATCATGAATGAATGATATTTGTAACTAATCAACAGTTCTTTAAATATTCTATTAATTTTGTCGAATAATTTAATGGTGCTCAATTTAGTTATTTTATTTTTCGTAGGTTGATTTATGAAATTCACAGCCGATGGTACAGTTAAGGATCAATGGCGCGAAGTTTTCCACCTGAAAGTTGTACAGAATTTTCAGATTTTTCTTCTATCTGCAGGCAATAGTTTTTGCGTAAAACGGTTTTTTGAACGACTAACCAATTACGACCCGAAATTAAGTCAATTCACAGCCAATGGTAGCAATTAGGAGCCAACTTATGGTCAATGGAATCATTTAAAAATGAATTAGGAGCTCATCCAGAACCATCGGAATATATCCCAATATGGCCCAATTGTCCAGCATTAGTTTATGAACAATAAAACATGTTACAGAACCAAATAAAAATAGCTTTATTTTACAAATCCTCAAAAATACCCAATAACTTATGTGTACTGAAAATGATAGGTTACAACTACTTAAATGTAGAAGGCGCCAAGAGCTACAAACTTTTTTTAATGAAACTTTCACAGGCCAGTTTTTTTTACAAAACTTCTTGATTCCTGCTGCGTCGGTTTTTGTTGAGTCGAACTTGCCAGCATTTCGCAAATTATCCTGTTGGCTTCTTCAGAGCTTGACTTAAAACTGTCTCAGTTAATAGTTCAGTTTCAGAGAAATCCAGAAGTTTTGTAAAAAGCTACAAACTTGATTTTAAAATGTTTGTGTATTTTAAACCATGACATGATATAAACTTTCTTTATTGGAGGTGTATAAAGCCGAATCTATACTAAACAGTTATTAATAATTCGTAATAATTCGCAAGCTTAAAAATAATTTTGCGCTTAGGACGTTTTGAATCCGTTTACTTTATTTATCCCCAAAATATGAATAACATCCATAAAGATGCCTGTACTAATTAGAAAACTCACTTTCTGTGTTACAA